TCTCTCTCTCTCACACACTCTCCCCCCCCCCTTGACGCGTTCGTCGACAGAACCGACATTGGCTTTCGTTTTTTTTTAATCAAGTAATTCTAGTGTTTTTATTTTTCCTTTTTTTCCCCCTTCGTTTTAGGTTTCTTTTCCCAACTACTGATAGGTGTAGGCTTGGCCAGGGTCGAGCAACAGGTAGCGAATGCGAGGGTTGGGCCTTAACAACAAGAGAGTACTGGTGGTTTAACACGATCGACGTATTGAGAGACAATGATCGTGCTCTTGTCAGCCAATATAGACGTAATAGGTCAAGGTAAGTCTTTTACCTTCATTCCCAGATGCAATTTACGAATTGCCTTCTCTGAGATATAAGACCTCGTCGATCCTGGATCTAACAGGGCACCTTCTCGCGTGTGCGCAATCTCAATATCCGCGATCATCAGCTCACCCTTAGACTTAGCTTTCTTTGCCTACGGACTCCGTAGTGCTATAAGTTTGTTTCCGAGCTCGTCACGGGAATCGTCCAGTGAGACAGAACAGAGTATAGTGTCAGGGTGTTCAGGACGACGGGCGAAAGAAGAGTCATCCTCTGCCTTAAGAGTCGAAGGGGTAGAAGGGGTGATAGGCGCCTTACCTTTAACTTCGTCTAATCCCTTCGACTCAGTAGGAGTAGATGCTACTCCTACTGGCTGCTCGCTCTAGGGTTCCTAATAAGTGGGCATCTGGTGATCACATGCCCCACGGTGCCACACTTGAGGCATTGGCGATTGTCCATCTTGGACTGCCATTCCTCACGTGTCATGTTCATCTTGTCCCATGGTTTCCCAAATGCTATGTTAGGATGCTCGGGGAACGTGCGTGGCCTCATCTTCTTTTTCCATTGGTTTTGGCCTCCCTTGTTGGCCATCAAATTAGTGACATCACCCTTCCCAGATTCACTGCCGCCGTTACCTCCTCCTCCCTCATACTCATCAAGAGGTAACTTTTCTACCGTATCATCATCAAATACTGCAAGCATGTGGTCCTAGCGCTTTTGCCGCCAAAGGACCCGCTTGCCATAACCACCAACTGGTCCTGACTTTACCACCGAAGCGTAAGACCTCTTTACCTGTGCGGTCATTTTCTCTCGTTGGAGAGCGAGATCACGAAACTGCCGATAGTTAAACTTACCAGACTTGGCTTCCGCCACAAGCTGTCCAGGAATGGGCTCGAGCAAGGCACGTGAGTAGATATAGAGAACCTGGTTGTCTTGTAAATTCAATCCAGGTACCTGCAACAGACGATCCACTTCACGAGACAGCGCATCGACAGAAGTCCATCGTTTCTAGCCTATAGTGGTGATTTAATTAAAAGGCCTCTCCTTAATCTTTTGGAGAAATTGCCTGAGAGTAAGTGTCTTGGCCCACTCACCGATATCCTCGAAGCCAACAGCATTGGCTTCGGCCAACACCCATTCCTTGGCCACTCCTCCGAGACAAGATGTCGGGAAAGCAACCTGACTTTCAGGCTCAACGGGTGCGGTGGTATTGTAAGTCTGGATTTCGGCAATCCATAACAACAAGTTTTCATATATTATTCCGACGAGTGTTATTGGTCCGTAGAAATGTCGTTTCCCCTGTATTCTGTATTAGGGAGAGGTTGTTGCTCATATCAACAAACCATACATTATTCAGATGAGTGTTATTGATCTGGTTATATGTGCAACGGTTTTGTGACCGTAGAAATGTCGTTTCCCCCGTATTTTGTATTCTTGCCATATAACGAGTTGGCATCATACCTTAGGATACCGTAGCCCAAACGTGGCCATGACCTTTAAGTTATGACAGGGGAGAGAGGTTCGCTAACATCATCAGGGCTTTGTTTGCCCGTGTAGCATAAAATGGGCATATCGGAAGATGAAACGGAATTCACCAGTTCGAAGTAGCTGATGCAGAACCCAGGGCTCGATCCCTAGTTCCCCAACTTACCTGTGTACAATATCTGTGTCAACT